TCGTTGTTCGTGAGGACTTTACCAAATCACGATGCGACGCTTTGATTGCAGACTTCAAGCTAGCGTTGCAAACTCTTGACGCACTCGACGCCAGGAGAATCCAAGATCACAAGGAGTAAGTTCTCCTGGTAGCTGATGACGGAGTTTTGATTGGAAATATACTGACTTGGACATAGGCACCAGTTCGCGATGCGCCGCCGGTCGACGCTCGTCAGCCCCGTCTTTCAAAAGAAGGCGACGGATCATTTTGAAGAGAACCACAGTCTGCAGGCCAAGACCGGCAAGACGCATGCGGTTTGCTAAGCTACACATTAGAGTATTGCGGCTTGGTGAGGCGTAGTAGATAACGAGTTTTGACGATAGACGAATCAAAAATTATGAACTCTGACGTTCTGAAACATTGACGTAGCCCTGCTAGCCACATTCAAATGTAAACTAATCATGGCATGGAAGGCCTGATGTATGGAAATCGACCGCAAAGGTCTAGATCGGATCGGATCAGAAGTGACGATTCATCGATGCCGACATCTGGGGTGAGGGTTGCTGTGTTCTATCTGATGCTCCCATAGCAAAGTGGGCCATTCTCCGTCGGTCCATTGTTTAAAGTTCCCCGGCCTTAAGATTCTCTCTCATGACTCGACGCACAGGTAATCTAGCAGACCCATCAAAGTCACATGGTGTGGCTGTCTGGTGCTCAAGGACGTTTTGAAGTGTCCGACATGGCTTGGCGAGAACGAACGGGTTTCTTGTCGCGTTGTTTTCACGAGATCGAGTTTCTGGCTCTGCCCCAGCACATATTGTTTTATATGTATATAGCAGGCTCCACAAAGCGACGATCCTAAGAGCAAAGAATCAGGATAGTTGCTGTGTTTGCTCTGATAACTTGATTTTGTATAAACATTCGTTTCTTGTAGTGGGCAAGCAATGCGGCGGCGGCTTGTGTCACTTTGTGACGCTAAAAGGTTATTGTGCTGACTGGCCGGCGGATGAAGGCGGCGCACCATGTGCGCAGCATGCTAGTGCCGGAGTTTCACGATCGGTGAATGCAAGTAAGTTTGTGGGTAAGCTCCGAGGAGTCGGTATTGCACCACGTTGTACATACAGCACAGCTATCCCCTATGTAACGTGGTAGTGAAAACGCCGGGCATGGTGATGGCGTCTTCTTCGGACCTTCTCCATAGAGAATGAATGCCTGGGCACGGCATCTAATACCGAAACTGCAAGCCATGGGCGCCAAAAGCCGTTGTCGTCATAGGAGGCTGATCAGAGCTTTAGGAACCAATGAGGTGAGGGACTATTACCTGGAAACATGCAGCACGTGCACGCATCGCACAGCTCAATACATGCAGGGACGAGTTTTGTCACATATAGGCCACACTATAGACACTCGGCCATCTTCCCACAAGATTACTCCAACTCGTAAACACCCAGTTGAGGGCAAGATCCCACCAGATCTACCAAGATCTACTTACACCAATCAACAAACCTCTCATATCACACATCGTATGCTGCCAAGGGGTCATGACTCACCTGGGCTCGAAAATATTACCTACTTCTACTGCGCTACGGTTATGGCAGCCAGTCCCTATCCTGGCCGTCCCATGCCATATACCCGCAGCCCACTCAGCCTTGAACCGTTATAGGGCTGTGATTTCGCGGCTGTTACTGAGGCGCGGCCAAGGACTCTGGAGTAATGATCAAACAACTGTCAGGGGAAAACTAAACAGGATACGCCTTGATAGTCAAGAGCAGTAGACACTGTGTGGTTACTAAATCCATGTGTAATGTCACTGATTTCTATCACAGGACCACGCCCCTACACGACTCAGACATGGCTAGTGACGCGACTTTACCATGTCTGGGGGCTACTTCCCATTAAACAGCGGGCATCATTGAGTTAAATTCAAGAGACGCTGATCTGCAACTCCCGTCGCGTTTTGCAAACTCTATCTGATATACGACTCAAGTCTGACGGCAGTGTCGGGCGCATGAGCGCGATCTTAGCTCAAGAGCTAGGCCAATTTGTGGGTTTGATCTACGAGCGGGCCGGGAGCCAGCCCACACTATACGAGTCATTGTTAGCTGCCAACCCTGAAGGCAGGAACAAGGAAGGCAGTCTAGATCATTGTTGCGGGCCAAATGGTGATGAGTCGGTCCTAATAAGGCAGGTCCCTGATAATAATCAAAATGCGACGCTGCCCCGTACCGGAGACAAAATGGCGAACCCCATTGGGAGGGGTGGATACACCCGCACTGAGGATTTAATAGCCCTTGGCATCCACCCTCTCGAGTAAACTTCCGAGTCTAGCGAGTGGGCTCAGGCAGAAACCATTCCGGCAGCTAGGGACTGGTAACGGGGAGGACGGTAGTTTGGTCTCGGCGGCATCCATCGTTCATGTCGTGTAACCCTCACCCGAAAATTGTTACATGTACATGCGACCGCTACCCCGATTTCCCAAGTCTTCGTCCGAACTGAGGGTCTCCTCACACCCTGATCGCCGGGGAAGCGCATTCGTCCAGGCCTGGCTCACTTCGCATACCCAGGATGTCGACGCAGTTGCAGAACTGGGTTAGCAACCCAGAGGAGACTCATGGCCCGCTCATGAGCATCACTGTTTGGTCGCTCTGCGGAGTCGCGGGTTTCTTCCTCGCTCTTCGGCTGGCGATTCAAAAAAACCAAGGGAAGTTGTGGTATGACAGCTTGATTCTTACCGTCAGCTGGGTAAGCAATGAGAATCCTCTACCTACAAGAAACGACTAACGCGCAACGTGCAGTTATTCTTGCTTTGTCAAGCCATCCTTAACCAGTTAAGTGTGAATTTGGGCTTTGGAAAACACTCGCTTGATAGTAAGAAGCTACACGAGAGACGCATGTGATACCGAGGGTCTGACTCCTTTGCACCAGTTGACTTCAGCAATTTCGAGACCATAACTTATCTTGGCGCAACCGGGCTCACCGTCTCCACAACTGCCATCACTCTCAGCAAGATATCGTTCGGAGTGACGCTTTTTCGTTTGACTGAAGGATGGGTCAAAGCGTACGTGTGCTTTGCCATGGCTACCCTCTTGATATTCGCGATACCGACCTGCATCCTTCCTTGGGTCCTTTGCAAGCCATTGACCAAGACTTTTGTGGATATCGTACCGGGCACATGTATGAACAAGCATCCGTCTGTCGTCTATGGACGATTTCAAGCTAGTCGGTAGTGCCTTGGTGATACGTCGGGGTATTGTACTAATTCGATGTGTAGTATGGTCTGCAATCATGGACATTTCTCTAGCGCTCATTCCATGGAAAATCATTTGGAACCTGCAGATGCGCCCAGCAGAGAAGATTGGTGTCTGCATCGCTATGAGTCTGGGAGTATTGTAAGCCAATTCATCACGAACCGTCTAGGCTCTGCTAACCAGATCAAAGAGCAGGAGTGACCGCAATTCTTCGAGCTCGATATGTCGAGTTACTGACCAAACTAGACCTCTCGTGTACGTTGTGTAACATGTACTTCTGTGACCTTGGCTGACGTATACAGATGACGCCACCAACACTGTTATCTGGTCGTCAGCAGAGTCTTCCATGGCCATTGTCGCAACGTCGATACCTGTACTCCGAGTCTTCTTCAGACAAGCCGTCACCTCTGTGATTAACTCATACCAAAACTCGTCGCGAGAAAGAAGGTTTAAGAGCCAGGCTTCGAACCTATCGGGCATGAACTCAACAGCACATGCGTCCAAACTGGGTTCTAAGAATATCAAGATTGAAGCCACAGGCTCATCCTCAAACAAACGGCGGTCAAACATGTTCAACTCGGACGGCACTACAAACGTTAGCCAAGAATCATTAGTTGATGCGGACGGAAAGCGACAAGAAGCGTATGTGGAGATGGATAACCTTGTCGTCGACGAGGTTACAGGACGAGTCACTCTGGCATCTCCTGCATCCATGAATTCGCTAGAAGGAGGATTGCCGCATCGACCGCATACACGTTTATGATACCCTTTCCTTATCACCATCTCTTTTGTGTCAAAAATGGGTTCCGAAAACGGACGAGCAGCCAACGGCTGCGCTGGAGCGAAAAAAAGGGCTCCAACCACATCTATAGAATACAGCACGAGTTACGACGTCATAATGTTAATCATTCGACTACTACTACGCATCCAACGCCTTTGCATCTGCTTTTTTTCGTTCCACCATTATTCCATGCTAACAAGGAACCATCCTTCCGCACCCCCTCATCGGAACCGCTCACACACCTCTCTTACCCCTCTGCTTCGTCTCCTCCAGAACATCTCTGACGCGACACTAAACCGACGACAACCAGCAAAATCGCAGAAAGCTTCAAGCTTTCCGGCAAGAACTCGGCAAATAAGCCTAAGAAACCCCTCTTTCATCTCCCATCAAGTGCAAAACGAAATGCAAACCAAGCATGACGATCTTCGCTCCTTCCAGCACAGCCCGCATCGTCCACGCTAGCCCTGACATTTAACCTCTCACCTACAGAAACCGTCCGCTCATACTTCCGCACATGCGCTAGTCCAATTCCGCTGTGGCTTAACCAAGTTGGACGGCGAACTGCGCCTCAAAAGCACAGTCTACGCACTTATTTTCTCCGTACCCGCTGATCCCCGTCGTATGTAGTCCCTCCCAGTCCCTATTGTGTCTAGTAGCTCCCCACTCATCCCCGACCCACCCGAACCCCCCCGCAATACTGGCAGCTTACAAGGCAGATGAGCCAATCAGATACGTTGCAAAGCCACGCTTTGATGCGCCCCTTGCAGCACGAGATCGGCGGGGTGGGCGCACGGTAGGGGTTGATGCGATAGGTAAGCGAGGTGAGGAAAGTTGTAGGGTATCACGAGCATTTTGCGCGATTCAGGGCTTGAGGGGATCAGGAGAGGCAGATGTGACATGACTCGGTTGGTAAGTGTTGAGTTTAGTTTGAAAGGTTTAACTTGGGGAAGGAGGCAAATGGGTGATGGGACCAAGTATATAGGTGGAGAGATGAGACTGCGGGAGAAGGTTTACGGCTTCTATATCTTTTTTGTTGGATTGAAATCCAGAGAAGTTCGTTTTACACTCCTTTAATACATACACACTACTCCCCCTTATCCTTGCTATATTCTGGATTCTCTCACATTTTGCGGTAATACGCCTTGACTTACGTAACTCGCTTTTTCCACCTACCTTACCTCTCGGGCATTCATAGCAAAGGAGAAGATTTGGCTGGACAAAGATGAAGACGTCGATTCTATACACGGCTTCGCTGTTCCTCACAACAGCTGTAGCATTTCCCGCAAACTTACTCAACGGCGACATCAGCAGCGAGACTCTTGCGGAAATCAACAGTATCGTTGCCAGGATTGAGCGCGAGGCCGCTGCATCTGAAAAGCGGCAGTTGGGATTTGGCCTTGTTAAGCCAGGGTTCGATGCTGATGCGCAGCGTGTGAGCAATACCGGGACGCATCGATACGTGAGTTCCCCCCTCTCCCCCCCCCCCTTTTTTCTTTTTCTTTTCTGAGTCTCTCGTGTGAGAGGGGATGCAAGTGGAAAGAAAGAGAAAGGTAACTAACGGGGGCATTAGATAGCACCAGGCCCAAACGACATCCGCGGTCCCTGCCCCGGCCTCAATATTCTCGCCAACCATGGCTATATCTCGCGAACGGGTGTTGCGTCTGTGCTTGATTTGACGACTGCATCGACCAAAGGTCTGTCTCATCCCACTTCCAAAATCCCCCCCGTCTTCAATTTCAACAAAAATGGCTAATGGATGATAATAGTCTTCGGCATGGCAACTGACCTCTCCGCCTTCCTATCCGTCTACTCCGGCCTTATTGCCGGCGATCTTACCACCGTGTCAATTGGCGGTAAGCCCAAGAGCGGCGGCCTGCTTACCGGCGCGACGTCGTCGCTTGGCCTGCTAGGCGAGCCCCAGGGACTAAGCGCATCGCATAATCGGTTTGAGACGGATTGCTCGCCTACAAGAGCGGATTTGTACAAGACGTACGTGTCATTCCACTTCTTTCCTTTTCCTATTTCTCTATCGGTTGATTTTACAAATGAGTGAGTGGTGTGGCTAATGTATAATGTGCAGTGGCGATATCGACTCCCTGGACCTGAGTCAATTCGAGGAGCTGGCTGCCATGCCTCTCGGCCCGAATGGATACGATCTCACCGTCATGCATCCCTTCCGGGGTTCTCGCTTCAACAACTCTATCGCGACTAATGGACGTTACTTTGCTGGGCCGTTTACGCACTTTGCGATTAACACGGCTACGTACCTCTTCACGTACCACTTCTTCCGCAACCACAGTGCGCAGTACCCTGATGGCTATCTCGATTTGGAAACGCTCAAGTCGTTCGAGGGCGTGACTGGGGAGCGGGGAAGTTTCAAGTGGGCGTCTGGTCGCGAGAGGATTCCTGATAACGTATGTGCTTTTACGATTTCTTGGCGCTTTGAATAGGAGCCGCTTGCTGACGTTTGGTTTTTAGTATTACCGCCGTGCTATCGGTGATGAATACGGCATTGCGTCTTTCTCACTCGATGCTGTGCGCGCGCTGCAAGCACTGCCTTACATGGCTGTTATCGGCGGCAACACGGGCAAGCCGAACACGTTTACTGGTGTCAATATTGCAGATTTGACCGGCGGTGTTTTCAACGCGGAGACGCTGCTTCAAGGCAACAATGCTATGTGCTTTGCGTTTCAGTTTGTGCAGTTTGCCTCGCCGGATATCCTGGATGGTCTACTTGGCAATGTTGTGCTTGCGGTACGCAAGTTGACGGCTGTGCTTGATCCTGTTCTTGCTATCCTAGGGTGCCCACAGGCTGCCAAGTTCGATATGGGATTACTGTCGAGCTTCCCTGGCGGAAAGATGTAGAGTCGGAATTGAGGAACTTCTGTAAGATACAACAACTGTTTATATTTTTTTTCTTCATACTTCTACGCCATTGCTGGGCCCTGGGGCAGGCTACTGGATTTTAAGCGAAGACTTGGATTGCTGAACCTAAAACAAAGGAAATGGTAGTCACCATTTTTAATTTACATCAATAGTTTGATTCTTTTACGATGAGCGCAGACGGCATCAATGATTGCGTGTTTGCCGGCCGGCTGGACAACGTTGGCGTCAGAACAATACGAAAACTGGAATGTATGTAAAAAATTGAAAACGAGTCTCTTGACCGGACACGTCTCTCCGGATAGCAATGCTGAGTGGAGTTTTAAGACGAACAATGTGGTGTTGTACGCCGTGAACCGGAGACGAGAGAAGAGAAGTGGTCGTTCAGGTACGCAAAGCCGGCTACTACCCCGCAGGTGGTGGCCACGAGTTGAAACCGGGCCGGTCGACATGCAACCACTAATTCGCATGTACACGCCTTATTGAGCGAAGAAGGATTTTATCGAGTTGAGATAAGAAGCCATCATTTCCGCTGCATTAGTCCAATCGGATTCTGATTTAGCACCCGCTTTCCGAATAATTTCGCTTCCTCTACTACTCATCACAGATAATAATAGAAGCTATTATCATCGCATCCACCACCGCCATGGCCCCATCCGCCATCCCAGCCGAAGCAACACCAACGCCGCAATCCAAGCAGCTAGTGCCGCATTCCAAAGACGATGCATCAAAAGAATTGACACCACTTCAAGCCATATCCCAGGGCGTGTGTCTCCCCAGTGTCCCTCTCTTCTCCTCCTTCGACAAACAACGCGCATGGATCCTCTCCCACATGGCCGGTCGGTACACCTTCTCACGCAGCCTCATCCGTGCAACAAAATAGTAACACTCATCCAGGCGCGTTCAGAGTCTTCGCCCGAAAAGGCCTCACCGAAGGCATGAGCGGCCACATCTCGGTGCGCGACCCGGAAAACCCGCACACCTTCTGGACCAACCCGCTCGGTAAGCACTTTGGCCTGCTCACAGCCGCTGACATGGTGCTCGTCGACTACGACGGCAACGTCGTTGGCGGGAACCGCAGCAGGCCTGCCAACGCCGCCGGCTTTCTCATCCACTCGGCCGTGCACAAGGCAAGGCCCGATGTCAACGCTGCGTGCCACTGCCACGGTACGGCCGGCAAGGCTTGGAGCGCGTTTGCCAAGCCTCTTGACATGATTAACCAGGATGTGTGCTACTTTTACGGCGAGGCACAGGCTGTGTACCAGGATTTCGGGGGAATTGTGTTTGATGAGGCGGAGGGTAAGCGGTTGGCTGATGCGCTGGGACCCAAGGGTAAGGGTCTGATTTTAAGGAATCATGGGTTGCTGGTAAGTTAGGACCCCGAGCGTCTTTTACAGGGATATCCCATGTTTTTTTTTGGGGGATGCTGACGGTGAACTACTTTAGACTGTGGGTGATACGGTTGATGAGGCTGCTTATTTGTATACGCTTATGGAGCGGTCTTGTGAGGTGCAGCTGCAGGTTGAGGCTGCGGCGGCGAATGGCGTTCCTAAGGTTTATGTCGAGGATGCGGCAGCTGAGTATACGTTTAGGATGGGGAGTGATGCTGAGAGTTTATACTGGGAGTTTCAGCCGGACCTGGAGTATGAGTATGAGTTGTGTAATGGGGCGTTTAAGCATCCTGAGTGTGAGGAGGTTGTTTGGCGGGGGTATTGAAGGCGTCTAGATTATGACTAGACGTTCTGAAATAGAATGAATGATGCCATTATGAAGCCTTCTTTTCGTTTTCTGGGGCCGCTTTGTGCTTTGTGACATTCTTCTGGGAAGTTCTCCTTAGTAACATCCTCGGTGTTAAGTTGGAAAATCTCAAACAGGCATGCGAATTTGCTGAGTTCATGAAAGCAATCACGGACTTTTAGCGCCGTATGACTAGCCACTGGCTCAAATATGATGCGCGCCAGTGAGCAATGATGAATTGTCAGCTCGTGCATTTGTTCAAGTGGTTAAGCTTCCCACAATTACTTATTATTCGAAGTGTTTACCCTGATTGCAATCTACTCCAATTGAAAACAAAAACAAAAAAGACTAGTTATCTTTAGCGAGAAACAATGCTCTTTCTCTGCCAAATACTGTACGCATTACATCATCTAAACCCAGCTATGTACATGTTCCATTACTATACCAACCCACTTTTCCAAGCGTAGTATACAACTACCCCGGACACCCCGACCATCTAACAGTCTCATAAGGTCCTTCATCACCCTGCAAAAGCCAGTATCCAGCGCTCTCCTCATCCCCATCCCCCAATACCGGCACCCTCAGCGGCGGAAACGGATACCGCTCAAGCGACCTATCCTGCAGCACAGGCTCCCCGTTATCCAATGATCTCCATAACGATCTCTGAAGCCGTCCGGTAGTCGGTGCTTCACGCGGGTGATTCACAGTGGACTTGTCAGCGGCTATTGTGAAGTAGCCTCTATAGGGGATTTCAACTCTCATGTCGCGCAGGTGCGTGGAGCGGTAGAAGGAATCGACGAGGTGTAATGCTGGTAGAGTTTCAATCTTCTTGTAGTTCTCGTCCGTCGCCATAAAGCTAATGCAGAGACTGCGAAGTTGGTGGCAGTGCGTGGCGATGTTGTTGAGAATGGGCTCCAGGCGATTTTCGGTGGTGGCTGGCTTGTCGTTGTCTGACTTGGTACTTTGTGCCCAGATGACTATCTCCAGAGATTTGATGCATACGAGTCGGCTGGATAAGATAAGCTGGGGGAGGTGGAGGAGTAGAGGCGTGCTCTGGATGTCGATAGTGTTGGTAGAGTACAGGAAATCAATGCCTTCGGTGTAGGCTTGTTTACATGACAGCAGGAACCCCATGATGCCGATGTTGCACTCTTCCGGAGGTGTCTCTTTGCACCCACAGGCGTTCCACGTGTAGTAATCGATCCATGGACCGTACCAGCCGTATCGCATAGATGACTGTGCTCCTGCTAAGTTTCGGTGGCAAATGGCGCCTCTCCATTGCCAGGCTTCGTCTCGGCGCACAATGTCCATGTGAAGGGTACGCCTGCCAAAGGCCAAATTGAGAATCATGGTGCGAATATCGCCAGGGAGTTGGAAGAATAGACATCCTGGTGTACTCAATGAAGTTGGCGTGACGGGACGGCGTGAAGATGGAAGGAATGGGAGTTGGTCTTTAGACTGCTTCTTGGGATCCGAGCTGGAAGAAAGGTGTTTCTTCACCCAGGCACGGAGTTTAGCCATTTCCCAAATTTTGTAGGAACGTAGAATAGAAGAAGAACTTGATAGGTGGATGACACGGTTATATTGCTCCTGCAGCCAAGGTAGCCCTATTCATCAACACGCTCGCTAACAATTACACCCCTGCAGCGGTACGCCTGATATCTGCGTCACTGACTGCGGACATTTTCTAAGTTACATCCTGGTCTCTGAAAGACCCGAGGGTCGGGGGATAAAGGAGAAAAGCATCTTTATTAATGTGTTCGATACCAGGATTAGGCTATTTTACTAGTTATCTAAGTTAAAAAGTTCTTGCACGTCTAAGTCAAAGGAAGCTAGTTGTTACACGAGGTTCGGATCTATACTTCTCTATGCTGGTCCGCACTAAGGCAGGCGAGTATTACGCTAGTGTTCCGTAAGGTAATTGTCTGGCGATGCAGTGGAGTGGCGTGCTTGTAGAGAGGATAACAAAGGCTTGACAAACCTAATCTATATTGCTATAGACTAACTTGCGACAATCTTGTTAAGTAGAGTAACTAGTAAGAAAGTACAGTTTGAGTTGACCACAACGAGAGTAAATAATGAAATCCATCCATCCTTATATCCTCATTGCTTCGAGTCCTGCCATCCCGTCCATCCCATCTTGGCGGGATGGCACATCACGTGATCTTAACCCCGCGATGATCATTACCTTCTGACCTAGACGTCCATAGGCCTTCAGCCATCTCGTCATTTGTCAAGGAGAGAATCCTTCTTGTTACTTGTAACACTAGTAGCTACTAGTTTAGATATATGTCATCCCTCTATGGTATTACAACGCTAAAAAATGCCACTACATATTATCTAATAAATTCTTTACTCTACAGATCCCGTCCCCCTACGTGGGTACAGATGGCCCCCATCTACTTATCCCCAAACAAGCTTCTTCAACGAATACTCAAACTGTTCCAGGTAACCGGTGCTCTTCTTTGCATCCTCAAGGCTGATGATATCCTTTTCTTCAATCTCCACTTTTCTGTCCCCTTCACCCTCTCCCCTGCGTACGCCATTAGCGACCCGCGCAATCTCATCGCAGACCGACTTGACAATCTCGGTCTCATCCTCGACTGCATCGCCAGATGCAACAGGAACACTGCTGTGCGCTGGTAATGCTTTGAACGCCAGGAATCGACCACTGGCATCATCTTGCTTTGGAGCTTTTTGAGCCTCGTCCTTGGCCGAATCGTCGCCAGGCTCCGAATCCAGCACTCTGGTGTTTCTGCGTACAAGCTTACCGCGGCTGTCAGGTCGGTACCGGATGATGAGCCCCACATTCTTGTCCGTGTCCATGTGTCGCTGTGCTAGGGTTGAGGTAATATAAACACCGCGCATGAGGCCCTGCACGTTTTCAAGCGGGATGCGCTCAAACTCTCGTACCTTTTCAGTACCCCAGTCCAGACGGCAAAAGTACAGAGCCTTTTCCGTGAGTAGAAGAATCGCCTCTTCGAATGTCGTTGTCTTCACTTGGTTCGCTGCAGTTGGCACACTGAGCGTCCAGCCCTGTACCAAGTCCTCGTCATGGCCTTCGATGACGATACCCGCTGAGCGCTCGATAGCTTGCTGTCGTACTCTGCGCAGATCAACAAAGTGGTCCGAGCTCTTCATATCCGCTTCAAACTCTGAAAAGATGGTGTCGGTCGCGCGGCCAAGAAGGTAGTCGATGAGTGCCTGGGCAAAGTAGTCATTGACAATATTGTTGTAATAACGAGTTAGTGTTAGTCCAAAATCAGTAAGGGCGCCCGTGATCTGCCGTTTACGCGTTCGTGTAAAGTCGCCCTTGAGCGCAGCTGTGCCGGCATACTGTCTCGAGATGGCATCGCCATTGTCCGCCCACAGGGTGTTGAACCACGAAGTACTAGGGTCGTGCTGGAGATCGATGTGGTAGTTGCCCAAGGATAATTGCGCCTCCAGAGCAGTTCTAGCACAGGCTGATTGAACCACGTTGGTGCGGTCCAGACAGTCCATGCAGTTCGTTCGCAAGATGCCAGTCTGCTTTTTCTGTACTTGATCATCTGCAATCTCAATCCAGCCCGAAGATTTCATAAAGGGTTCGATCGAGTCCATCAGCCTGGAGACGTTCTCAAACCTCATCCCACGGCAGACATTGTGAAAGTCGAACCATTCAAATCCTAGCTGTTTGCCTTTTCCATCGATACCCCCGTTCTCATTGAGCGCCTTTGCGTGCTGTTCGTACAACTCACCGATCTTCGCCTCTGTACCGTGTTTATCGATCAACGAGTCACAATATATGTCTCCGTACCGCGACGACAGGTCAAGAAAGTGCCGCTTGAAGGCAAGCGCGTTTGTCTCAAAAGAGCCCCAGGTAGTAACTTGAGGTTTAAGACTGTATGGTGACTGAGAAAAGAACAATGGAATAGATCCGCGGAACTGTGTAAAAGAAAATATCTTATGTTGGGTCGTGTCAAAAGTTGGAGTCGAGAGTATCTGCTCAGTCTCGACGCTGTTTGCAGTGCAACCCTCGTCGTCTGTGCCACGGCGTAAGTAGCGAAGTCCAGCTCGCTTGGTCGAGCGACGCGAAATGAGTGTTAACAAAAAGTCTTTGCCTTGTACAAAAGAGTCCTGCTCTGACCTGACCTCGGTGTTCTCGCTCTCTGCTTGCTGTACCTCCTGTTTTTGCTTCTCTAGCCAAGGCTGCAATTGTATATCGTCTGGTGTTGCGCTTGGATCAACCACGAGGCTGCAGGATTGTGAATCTGTGGTCTTGAGGGTGAAAGGTCGCTGTCCAACGAAGCCCTGGATAATTGGCAGTACAAAAGAGTGCTGACCGGCCTCAATAAAAGGAGAAACTATGTTCTGGTTCCAGAAAAACTGGAAAAAGGTCAATGGGTGCGCAACACGTATATGAGATACTGACTCACCAAAGGATCAAACTGTTTGAAGAGTGGCACGCTCGAACTAGGCTGCTGCTGGCCGATGCCATTTGAAATGTCGTAGTCGTATGAATAGAAAAAATTGCCTGATGCAAAGTACATCTTCGTCGTTTGCAAAATCTTGGGCAACAAAGCTACTGTTACTGCATCCTTCTTGCCGCCCAGTGCTTTAGGGATTGCCGTAGGGTTGACGTCTTGGGGTACGTTTTCATCCTCAGTCGGGATTGCATCCGGCTTTGATTCGCCCTCAGGCCCTTGTTGCTCCTTCGGCACGGCTGGATCGGCATCCTGCCGTGCATACCTGGCGGCCAGATTTTCTTCTGAGGTGAATCCTTGTAAACGCCTATTATCCGCACTCCAACCCTTGCGAGAGAACCACTTGTCAGCAAACCTCCCATATACACCTTTCCGTTGTATGACATCTTCGGCAACACTGGTCTTTCGTGAAGGACTACTTTTCCGCCCAGTAACTGGGTCTGTGACTTCATTTGATGCTGGTGGTAGATCCCCGACGACTGAGTCGGTCACACTAGGCGCATCTTCGTCGCCCTCGCTATCAGTATCTTCGTCCTCGGCCCCTGGCGATTTGTTGCGACGCCTCAGGTGGTCACGAGTGGCTGCAATGGCCTTGTCGGCGTCGGCCTGGGAAGAGAGTGGAATAAGGGCGACATCGGTGATTTTGTATATAGGCTTTCCACGTATTTGTGCGACCTGTTCGCGATCGGATATGGATATTAGAAAGTGCGATGTCGCGATTTTGAGAAGCCCTATTCGGCTTGTCAGCAACTCGTGAGCGTCAAAATGCGCCCTTGCAAACGCCCATACCAATTATGCCATGCGTCTCGACAGATACAGTCGTAGTGTCTTCCTCACGTCTATCCTTTAGTAGTGGTCCGACGTTGCCCTTGTAGTCGACTTTGATGGCCTGTTGTGTTGTGGGCGGATGGTTGCGGGGCGGGGCGGGCTGCAGGATCAGGCCATCAACCGCTGCAAAAATGAGCAGCTTTCGGACAAGGGAAGGCATCTCTTCGGCAGCCCTATGCGCGAACACGTAGCATTGACCGGGAGAGATGCGATATTTGGTGGGCTGTATAAATGCGCGTAGACATAAATGTCATTGTAATACAGAGTATGACGTCTTGTTGCGCAACGCTAGCCTCTGTTGCCCCACGCGGCTGATCGGCCCAACCACTGGTAGCTCTCTAACACTAGCCTGCACGAAAAATGGAAGCAGTGTAACTTGAAGTCATCGAAACCTTTCTGTATAGATTTGAGCAACGATTGAGTGGGGATATATACCAATCTCTGAGTAATTCCTTCCATTATGATACCTGTCTCCATAGACGAGGCCTAGATAATATGACCTTTCCAAAGACGCTTGGTAAATTTTAGTACTCTCAGATATGTATGGTTTGAGGACATGGAAACGATGCTGTTAGTACATGCTCTGATTGACTTGATAGAAATGAGCACCCTCTTTCCCAAAGTCAAGCATTCCTTTAAAATGATGGAAAATCGCGGAACACCTACAAAACATATACAGAATGCGTCTACTTATAGGCAGGGTACTCGAGCCGTCTCGGCAAGCACTTGCAGCGACCACCACAACCTTATCTCCGTCGGACTTGTAGACTATATCCGCTCAACTTGCAACTTGACAACATCCTAGGATACTGCACATGTCTCGTCACTGAGACTTGGCCAAATCCGACACGTCATGAACGATAGAGGTTTAGTGGTGTTGGTTACTTGGAACGGACCGAACACGCGGACAAGGCCTCCCATAAGTGGGGAGTGTATAAATACTGTCCGTTATACAAAAACATATAGTATCCCAAGAAAACATCAATTGCTATCCAGTTGTGTAACCTCGATCATTATCCATGCGTACCAAACCAATTGGAAATGTCGGCCCAAACTGAGAAAGAGATCATCCTCGTCACTGGTATAATCCATCTATCCTCTCGTGATATGCAGAAACGAAGCACTGACGTACCTCTCCAGGCGGAACAAACGGCATCGGTCTTGACACCGTAATCCACTTCGCCTTCGCCTCCCCAAAATACCACGTCATAATCGGCGCACGCAACCTCTGCAAAGGCGAGACCGTCCTCAAAGACATCCAATCCAAGCCCATTCAGGGAACCGTATCCCTC